AAAAGTTGGTGTTTAACCGACGCGGCCTGACGCATTTCAACGAGAACCGCCGCGCGTAACCATTCGGTGACCCCTGGCACAAACCCCGTTTTCACAAAATCATAGTTTACGTCACAATATATCATGACGGTACCCGGTTGTTCGCGGCGCTTGGAATCCCGAGTGGTGTTTAACGTAATTGCGCGCCGTTTTAAAACGGTCAACTACGATAGTACCTCTAATACCGTAGACGTAATGTAAACAGTGATACATTACTAGGCCGTAAGACCATCTCCCGTCCGATAGGTAGCAGCTTCGCGGAGAAACGTTGTCGTTACACAATTGGCAATAATTTTAATTAAATATAACGAATCTGGGCATAACGCCGTCTTCGCGTTTGTTTTCGGCTTTGTCCAACAGCATTGTTTTCATATTATTCTTCAAATAGACCGCACAGTGAACGAACCATGAAAACAACAATTTCGCTACGCTTATAAATTTCTAATTAGGTACCCGGCAAAAGTTGCATGCGACTTTAAATAATTTTAACTGAATCGGCAAACGACAATCTGAAACGACGTAAGAAATAAAAATCACGTATTTTTTCGACATTTTCCTCTCCCCTTTGGTTTTCGAATACCGACATATTAATAAGGAATATTTAGAAAATTACCCCGCCCTCCCCCCCCCAAAAAAAAATATGTAAAAACCAGACAAAATTGTCTATTATAGACCACTTCTGAAATCTAACATAAAGGTAAAGACATCAGTTGTAGTGTGAAACGACAGCAATCGGGTTTTCTCGATATTTAAATTAATTGTAAACGAATGTACAAACATTTTTAAATTGTGTACAAATTAGTAAAATGTAAATGAACAGAACCCACATTGTAAAAACAAAAAAAAAAAAAAAAATGGATAATAAAAATAAACCGATCCTTAGTCATGTCTTCTATAGACAAAATCTTCTATCAACAACCGACGCTGAAATGTTTGGCGGGAACGAGATTTTCGTACAAAAAAATATTGCTCATACACACGCAGCAAAATAAAAAACCACATGTCATAGGAAAACTAGCACACTCCTGACTTCGTTCAGAATATATTCTCATTCAGAGCGTATATTTTTTTTTGATTTTCCAACTAATTTTCATAATAATTTGGAAAAATCACAAAAAGACGTATATTCAAAACTAATAAATTTACGGCATTACGATACTTTTATTTTAAACTTGTGTACGTCTTATGTTTCCCAACAGAAATATTATTCGAATAGAAAAATACTAATAGACCTTATTTGTTGAATCTTTAGTCTTGTTAATGAGTAAGAACGCTGTATATTGATTTCCCTTGTATTTTTTTTTTTTAATAACCGAGCAAAGTCGACAAAAACGCAGAAAGAACAGGTAAATGTATAAAAATAATATTTTTTTTATTGCAATCCAGTTAAAAATATTCACAGGGACTTAAAATTTTGTCAAAAAAGTGAACTTTATTTTACGTCCAAAGTTTCAACACATTTGATTTATTTATAAACATTTTAATTTTGCAAGTTTTTTATTTAGTAAGTACTCTGTAGATAAAAATATTGTTAGCGTAAATAATAAAATTGAGTAAAATGTGAATTTTATTATTTTTTTTTTTTTTTATAGTTATAAAATCAAATTTTAACGAAAATCGTAATATTTACGATTTTTCAAACGTGTATAACTGAACTTCTCTCCGAATCGTATTTCGCTAGTAATTTATATTTATCGTCGCTTACAAATATAAATTAAATAGCGTTAGGTATCCTACCTTCCCGGTCTCTAACCTATAACAGTGTCACACCAGTTTCAACTGTTTTTAAAATATAAGTAAAAAAAAAACCTCTCACAGTTTTGTTCTTTAATATTATTTTAAAATCTCTCCCTCTCTCTCTTTTTCTCAGAAAGAGAAAGAGAAAAATAAATAGTTTGTACAAATGAATTAATTGCACGAATTATCAAAGGTACCAGAGATATCTTAAATTAATTTTACGTTCAAACGAAACACGCAATACAGAATTTAATATAAACCTATCTTTATTTTTTTTTAAAAAAATAAAGTTAAAGAAATGGGTAATTTTTCAACTATATTTTTCATGATGTCTTTATTTGGTTCGTTTATGGGAATATTGTTTGAAGTATTTATAATTATAATAATAATAAGCGAACAACGGATTTATCGGACCGGAAAAAGTTCACTAAAAGTATTCGTCAAAACCGTTATTGTAGTGTTCGATTGTTTATAATCCACAGAAAATTCACTTTTAAATCAATCGATTTCTCGATAGTTCGGTGTGGTTTTGTGACTTTTTTCTCACGACGATCGTCTATTATTCGTGCGATAAATTGAAAAATCGACCGAACCAGAAGAATAATGAAATAATGTAAGTAGCCTCCCCCCAGGATCATTCATTAACGGGGGAGTTATAAAAGCGTTAAAAAACTAAACCGATTCGTCAAATTGGAACTGAGAACGAGGTCCATAGAATAATACGGTTTGTGTTTGAAATCGATTTCGTTTATGATAGTAATCACTAATTATTACGAGTTGTTATTGATGACGATTAAAAAAAAAAACAATAATAAATAAATGCGACGTCGAAATCGTACAAGGAAGTGTATTTTTCCGCGTTGTCGTAAACAAAATACGAGAGTGCGTTCAACGGCTTATTGCGAATCAAAACGCGAATTTCTGGTTGTTTTTTTTAAGTACAATATAATTGAAATAAAATGTTACGGCTGAAATCCGGTCATTGTAAATGGGAAGACGGGAAAGTAGGATGTATACGGTAATGAGTACGGGGTATACCGAAAGCCTATTAATAAAAAGAAAAAAAAAAGAAAAAAGATATCCCAATAAAACTATATAATAATAGCTTCTTCGCCACACTCGGGATCCATAACGATAATTTAAATATTAAAATAATTATCTATTAAACCGATACAATCCCTTAGCTGTACGAACGAGACTAAAACCATAATTTAAAGGCGTGTATGCGGTTTTTTTTAATCCAGCAATCAAACGCTGCGAACGAAAAAAAAAACGCACTTACAACATTACAATATTTTTTATTTTAATAATTAACGAGGACGGTACGGTTAACGAAAAAAAAAAAAAAACCACAAACGCAAATACGAATTTCGGTCGTAAAAATACATATACACGCGGCCCATAAAATCTGCGATTTAGCACTCGAAATGAGTTACGAAACACATTTTAAAAATGTGTAGGTACACGGGTACCTGTATCCGGTTATTAGTCTGTCGTGATTTACGAGGTGCACGGAAATTATTTGTATACCTAGTTTACGCTCGTGGAACACAAAAAAAATGAATTAAAAAAAAACTGACGAAACCGATTTTAATATGCGTTTTACGACAACAATAATAAAATTTAAAAAAAGAAAACCTAATGCGTTACAATCATATCTGAGCGTTCCTAAATTATAGGTTTTTTTTTTTTTTTAGAACCACCGTCGTCTCGCGATACCGGTGTCACGCACTTAACCGCGATAACCGATATTACGGGTTATAGGTATCCACGGCACGCAAAACGAAACGGCGAAATATTATAGTGTAAGTACTACAACACTTAAAGTCAATCGTATCGAATCACTTTACTTTTTTTTTTTTTTGTTTGTATGTCACGTATTCACGCAACAGACTCCGAATAATTATCGGGAATGCGTCGACACATTAATTGATATTGTATTACTGTTTTTGAAGCGCTATACACGTATACTGTACACTCTTCCTGCACCGTATGTGAAAAAAAAAACAGACGTTCTAGGATGAGGGGACCATAAAATTACCATTATGCAACGATAAAACATTGCTAATGGAAAAACGATTCTGAGCGGACATCAGTGGATGTTTCGTCAACAATATGTATGGCTTTTTATGGTAAAACGATTGAATAGACATTACATATTGTCTTTAATAATATTTGCTTTATGTACCTGTTTTCCAGTTTTTCGTTCGTTTTTCCCGGTTTTCTCATTTATTCCGCCCTGGTTGTTCACATTTGACGAGAAAACTCCCGGGAAAATCGATAAATGACCCCTTCAAAGTACATCCCCACACCGATTTCCTTTCAGAGAAGGTGCTCCATTTGAAAATCAGAGCTGGATAACTGGTAAAAAGTTTTCCACAGAAACAAAAAAAAAATAAACATCTTAGTAAAACCATAAGCTTCTTCGCTCCACTCAGGATCTAAAATTTACAATAATTATTGCCATATGTAAGTTTTAGAGAACGACCGTTGTGACAATAATTTCTCTTCTAAACTGACTGTGGTCGGTTAAACTGCAGTACAGTTTACCGTAGCGAAGCATTTTGCAACAAGTTTGAAACAAATCCCTTTTACTACGATAATTTATTAACAACCGGTAAACTAATCGAAAAAAGAAAAACTAAAATCGAATACACACAAGTGCATACAATGATAAATCGTCAATGACCCGTGCCTAGGGTTAGAATGTTGAATAGTATCATAGTAAAATAATTTTTCATTCGTGTTTGGCTACAGGTATTATAGCTGAATTTAATAGAAATCCGTTTCACTTACTGGAGATTAAAAATATGATATTTTTATTTTGAGATTTTGAAGATTTCTGCATATTTTAATACTTCTGAATTTTTAGATCATGTTATTGACTTTATTTGTTTGATTTCCTAATAGATCAATTCCGTTCTTGGTCATGTTTTTCGTCAAAATTCTTGATGTTAAATTTATATTTTCAATGTATTTCGTTAAATTATTTGCATATACGTCTAAAATAAAATACCTATTTATTTGGTTTGGTTTCGGAAGACGGAGAAATTTATAACTGGAAAACATGCAATTTTAAAATTTTACATTTTCTTTTTTTAACGCATAACTATTTTAAGTTTTTTTTTCGTATAATATATTTCTATAATAAATGCGCGACACAATATATTTTAGCACAAGTACCAATACTTTTGAGTATATATTTATTGCAATTTTCGAGCATGTTTTTTAAGAGTGCATTATCACATAATGAAAACGACAGTTTTTACGGCCATACTGAAAATAAAACGAATTTAATATTTATCATTGGGAAAACGGGTGGAGAGAGTTAGGTGTCTGGATACCCCTCCATCACTGATAACCAATATAAATGCATATTAAGACGTGTCTTGAAAAATAAATATGAATAATGAATGTAATATACTGCGATCTTGTTGGCTAAAGGATGACAATCATACTAAGTGTTTTGACTATTTAAAGAAAAGATACAGTTTAGAAAAAAACCACGATTGGATTTTGTTGTTTTGAAAAGTTACTTATTTGATTAGATATAAGTTTACTGATGATATTAATTTTGTTAATATATTTCATGTTAATAATAATACCTTGTATACCTTAATAATTATTATTTAAATTTAATTGCATAATTCAAGTAAAAAGTATTGTTTGTTTTAATAAAATTAAAACAAAATTATAACTTTTGTTTTAACAGTCAATCAATAAAACATATAAGTATGTAAATTGGCACATTTTTGGTATTTTTTTATACACCATATATATATATATATATATATATATATATATACATATATGACGTATAGAATGACGTGTGACAGCCTTTTCGGAAAATCCAGGTTGCACCACCGGTAATTCACCATGATTTACACAAACAACTATCGCTGAAATATCAGTGCAAACAAAAAGGCTACCGCGGTATAATTATAATATTATAGGTCAGATTAATAATACGCTTATCGGGACATTTTAACGGATAACGGAATTCCAGCCGTTAAATTTGTTCACGGTGCTATATTGCCGGGGGGGGGTGTGGGGTGTTAATACTGTTAACGGTTTAACAGTACATCGCACAATGTTTAACAACGTACCCCTTAAGCACGTATAGGTATAATATACTAATCCCCTCACGTTTTAAAACAATTATTTATGACGACAATAATAATAACGTTATTGTTTTTGACGATTGTGTTGGTGCCTAATGGATACTCGGTCATATTGGCGAAAGGAAATTCGGCGAGTCGTTTCCGGTGAACGAATGTTTCGGCAAACGGATATTTCGGCGAAAAAATTCGTTTATTTAGAGTAAACATAATTGAGAAAAAAACAAAATCGGAAAGGTAGGATGCATAAGGTTATTTCATTTTTATTTGTACTCGTAGGTGCGCGACGATAAATCGTTGCTAACTAAAAAAAAGATTCGGAGTGAATTTTGGTAAGACATGTTTTGAAATGTGTTCTCGGAATAAAAGGTGTACGAGCTAGATGATTGAATGTAGCGCACGTTGAGGCTGGTAAAGGAGAACAACAAAAATGGAAAACGACAGAGGACAGCATGAAAAAGTTGGAGAATTATTGAAATGAGGACATAATAAGCTACGTAAGGTAGGTATCAAAAAAGTTTGTCACTCGACATTGATTTTTAATTTTTATTATTATTGAATGCGAAGTTTTGTAATTTCGTTTTCACCGTGTATTTATATGCGTACGCACAACGACTCGACACATGGCCCGACACGTGGATTCATTTATTTATTGACTCGTATGGACTATCAATTACTCGCGTAACTCGTATTACTCAGCGTATAACGGACATGCAAATATTATAATTGTCATTATTATTATTATATTGACGTATTAGCGCTTTTTTCTTTTTTTTTATCGTTTGAACGCCGAATCAATAAATCGATTCGCCGAAACGTCCGTTCGCCGATATGTCCTAGATCCGCGCCTGACAGGGCGGGCACCTCGTGTGTCAGAGCTACGCGTCAGATTGCACAAACGCACGGTAACGTCTCATAACGTCGTCGCCAGGTTCGAACCGCGTGCAAGCGTTACGGCCGCCGATATTATTGCGTTAGATAAAAAATAATTAAATCGGCGGCGCGTGTATAACGGCAACAATAATTTATATATACTGTAAAACTATATATATATATATATATATATTAAAACGCCCGGGGGGATTTCCGAACGTAAGTAGAATACAACGCGCGGCGTGTTTTAAAAACCGAAAAAAAAAAAAAAAACACGACACAGAAGACGCTCACCGTGTATAAAATGTATATACGATGAATTATACCGCAGATGTCCTAGCGGTTTTCGCGAGCGAATAAATGACGTTTCCCATGAATTATGCATATCACATAGTTCGGCTGTGAGAAAAATAAAAAAAAAAAACAAAAAAACCACGATAGTAAATAAATGATTTCGTTTCGGACTTCGTTGAACCGCCGCGTGTGTACCGTAATAAACGGAGCTCACTGGTGTTTCGCGCCGTCCGCCCCGAATCCGTTTCCCGGTACCCACACACTTTGCAGTACGCGCCGCAGAAACACAATAAACACTGCGGCGATACGCGCAATAACATTAAAACGATATCCGCGGTATTCCGGTTTATATCGGACGACCGTGAACCGGGCGGGGTATCGATTTTCGCCGTTTTAAAATTCTATCACTCGGACGCGCCGACAGTGTCCTGCAGTCCGCGGCACAGTGCGCGACGCGCGCGGACGCAATTAGTGGGAGGGTGGGGGCTAAAAGGAGGGCTCGGCCCGCGCCGATCCACCTCGCGCCCTCCCTGAGATACTTCGTCACACGCATGAGCAATAGCTATTGTCGTAAATCGCATAATTTATAAAATCGATATTTATAATGTTCGCGACCGGTGGCACCCAACATACGTAGAGTTGTACAGTTTTTACCGATCAACGGTAACGCAGCTGTGAATTCAACGACACTAACGGCAATGTTATGTAGGTAGGTTCCCGTCGGATTTTCGTTTCGACGTTCCATTTAGCGACGGGCGCTAGTTCAATCGATTGTTTACAAAAAAAAAAAAAAACCACCGAGTGATTTAACGGTCGAATAGATATTTTTATCCGCCGATTTTTTTCGAAAACCGTCCAATGAATCAGTCGACAGTTGACATTCGCTATAGTAGTACCGACTAGTTTTCACCGCGGATAGTTTAAAAAGACAACCGATCAATCCGAATAGATACAACCGGTACACTGAACTACTCGACAGTCCGATAGTTTCGATAGTGTAGATGATAGTTTCGATGGTCGGTGATTTTCCGAAAGAACCGAGTAAATCGCTAGTTTGAATCTATCGGGTAGTTCGACAGTCAACTTAACTCGGCAGCGCCCATCACTACAGTTCCGATGTTCGGTTGATGGCCTATTCAAACGGCCCGCCGCCCAAAACTCGTCGTCGTGCGGGTGCCGGGTACAATTACGCCACGTCGTCCGAATATATAAATATCACTTGTAATTTGTTACGTATATGATAAACCGATGTTATGATATTGGTATTTGTTGACCTATAAATAGATTTTCCTTTATTATTATTCAGACCAGCGGTCCTTTCGGGCTCAAAACCTATTTATTTGAGGATCTTATTACGTCGTTACGTTCACGGTGACATTGTATAGGATTTCTTTCGAAACTTATTATTCACTCTCGTGTTACACGTCGTTGATGACGCGAATTTCCGGGTAAATATCGTGTATCTAGTAAATCTCCGTGCTCAGTGTCCGAATAATACAGTGCGGCCTATCTATGACCCTTCGCTACTCATCCGGACTATGCTTCAAACTGTTATAGTTCGTGAACGGTAAATCTGATATCTGTGTTATGCATATCAACATTTCTAGAAAAATATTCTCTATTTAAATCCGCGTTCAAAGAGTGAGAGGGGTTCCCGTTTGAATATCAAAACTATGCAATTATTTAAGGTATACAGAGTAGGGGTAAAAAATTAAAAAATAGTTTTCAAATTTTCAACGATTCCATTGTGGTTAGAAAAAACAAGAATCAAATTCACTCAAAGTCCTTTGTGATAATTGCTGGTTCGTGATAAAAAAAAAAAAACCAATCTGTATAGTACAATTATAATGGCGTTTTTAGGTTGTTAAAATTCGGTTTGTATATTATTTACACGCTCCATTATTCAAGTTATTTATCATTCGGCTTATACGATTGCTATGCTAATTAATAACAGATCGAATACGCAATCACATAAATTGAAAACGACAATTTGAGGTTTATCGAAATTAAAGTTTTTTTTAAAAAAATGCGTATCTTTATGCACGCGTATTCTTTATGAAATGTACGTCGATTTGTATAAATAATGTTTTTTCGCGTAGCCCCAAAAATGTATTTAGATATTATATTCAAGAGCTCGGACGATAATTATCTCCTCGTGATAACAGAAGAGCGAAAATCCACGGAAACACGAAATCATTAATCATATATTCGTCGTGGTTTCGTGTACCTAATAAATTTGAAGCTATTATTGATTAAGTTCCGATAAATGCTTGTGAATAAAGATAGTCAAAGCCCCACGTGAAGCTATATTCGAATATTTGAGGTAATGCTCAATTACTTTTACCTTTTTAGACATAGCGCACGGGTGGAGGTCGGACCCCATCCCGAAATTGTATTTCATGTTATCAATAGTATTCTCTACAAAGGAACATAAACAGGATAAGTTGTCGCTTAATATTAAACTCATTGTATATTAAATGTCTATCTAATATTCTGAGCGGAGCAATGAATTTTTTGGTTTCACTATTAAACGTGATTTTGTTCAAAATTTAATTTTTAATTTTTTATATCTGTGTAATGTTTCTATCAGAAATCTTACTGATACTGCATTAGCTCTTTTTTATTTCGACACACACACATGAATTTAATAAATTAATTATCTCGTTAGCTCGTAGCTACATGATTGTTTTCAGATTGTATATAATATTTTATACTTCGCCGCTTTTTGTAAAGATTTTAAATTTTAAATACTTATATACAAGTATATAATGTATATTTATTATTAAAAATTCGACCGAGTTTTACTTAAAATCTTAAAGTAGACGAAACGATTCTAAGAACTTAGTAATGTGGAAAAAATCAATTTTGAGTGGCTTCGCGCGAACACCATTATATTATTTTAATATGTTATGGATTTAAAAGTCTCGAGTTTTTACTTATATAACATTTTTTTTTTTTTTTTAATATAACTGATTATATCATTGTCCTTATAAAATCCTTCAAAAACAATTTAAATAAAAAGATTTTATTATAATGTTTCCAGAGAATTCAACACTTAGATGGAAGTACCTGTGTATTGTACAATGTACATACATTTTTAGGGAGTTGAAATTTTGTTTTTTTTTTTTAACGCTACATTATGTCTCGACGGTTGATTTGATTATTATGAGAGATATTATTTCAAGTGAGATTACCGTTAATAAATAATACACAGATGTCCGACTGATTCAACCGAAAAATGGTTCGGTTCGTTTCGGTTAAAATAAAATTCGTTCTCTGTGCTAGCATTGGTATAGCACGCGTACTTCGGGAACAATTATTACGGTTATGTATTAAAATAATTGATGTTGCAAATATTAAAATCAGTCATATCAGATGTCAATAGTAAATACTCAGTGTAGTAAGTTAAAATACGGTATCCAGCAGGGATGCTATCTAATCGAACCTGCGATTTTCCCGCCAAGGCGATCAACTTTATTTCCTCTTGTTGATATCATTATAAAAACCTATCGAGGAATAGTTTGATAGTCTCCCGTACCGTGCAGTCTGTACAGTTAATCTAAGACAATGTTGCTAGAAAGACGTTTGAGATCATACGAGTTGTAATGATAAAAGACAAATGCGAGAGAGAAAAAATCGCCCGTAGGTATTTCGCCGTTAGACGTCTGGTTCTCGGGAGATTTCAACTAACGATTGAAACATTTCCATTACGGTTCGGTCCACCGACACTACTGGCCCGCGAAACCAAATATTACTCTAAAAAAATTGTTTGATAGCGAATCAATAAACATTCAATCCCGACGATATTTGATTTATTTCTTTCGTGATACCTTTATAGTGACTACGAATCCATTTCTCCGTATGCATTATAACAGCGACCGTGCGTCGGTTTTATTGAGATTTATCTGTTTTTCCTATAGCACAACGGTTGGGTTTAATAGAATATTCGTGTTTAAGTACGGGGAAAAATGCAAATATTAACATGTCAACGCGCGTGGCTCGAACTCGTGCTTTGGTTTATGTGGATACAATGTAAATCGATCGCGAGTGAATGCACTCGTATATGGTGTAACGCGCTTTCGAGGGTACCTACTGCCTATACTCCATTATTGAATTAAATTCAGATTACCGGACTGTATTCACTACGACGACTCAAATGAGATCTGAAGAAACGTCATTAAACTTACTTCCGTAACGCAATAGGCATGATATTAATCTTCGCGTAGCATACACACGGTATACGATGTGCCGCCAAGACGAATCACATGGTGATTTGTTTTGTCATTATTTGGAGATTCCGATTAAAACTGATACGGATTTTTCCAGTCGCTATAGAACCGTTCAATGATATCATTGGTAATGTTTTCAAAATAGTACCCATATTTTTCCGTATGTGTATTCAATAACCCCATCTCCCGCCCATTATCAACACAGATTCAGAGGCAATCGGTGGCGTTGTGACCGCTGTGGGCCGTGGAATTATATGTGACAATATGTGTGCATTAATATATTTTTTAAATTTTTAAAAAGTTGTCTATTTTAAGAATGGGAGAAAATATATTTCGCCTCCTCCCCCCCCCTCCCCGTAAGAGAGGCCTAGATACGCCACTGGATGTAATACATTTCGTGTTCATTTACAAATGGTAGCTTATCTACTACTCCGGTCTGCATTTTAAACAGATTTTATTACTCATAAACGGTACTTATTCGAAATTATATTATATTTTATGTGCGCCAATATTAAAAAAAAAAAATTTTCTTTTCGAATTCGTGAAAATCAAAATTTTATATGACATTCTAAATAAGAACTTTCAACGATACCAAACGACTAAAAAACAACTAAAATCAATTTTATTCATAATATTAGGTAGATACTTAATAAGTATTGGATCGTGAAACAAAAAAAAATATTAATCTGTATGGATTTTTATTTGACGGCTTTACTACTGATGATAGAAATTAAAATAGCATTGTTTTTTTTTTTACTGCGTCGGTACCCATTTAATTAATAAAAATTACACGAGGCCGTGACGGAGGTAATCGTAAATTAAATATAATTGATTATTGCCTCAACTACGAAACAATAATTGCGTTATGTATAAAACGTGAATCATTTGTCGAATTTTTAATTATTCTTCTTCTGGTCTTTAGTAATTTCGAAGAGTTTTTTCCAACATCACGATTTCCTTCCACTTTACTCTGTTCTGAACTATTGTCTTCCATTATTGAACTCCTAATTTATTGAGATCTTCTTCTGTTTTACCCAGCCATCTCTTTCGAGAGAACATTATACGTACCATATATTTTTTTTTGTATTTTAACACCGTGGAGTCTGGATTCTTCACTGTAGACAATGGATCTAACTTTGAAATGTATTACTCCGTTGATCATCGAACACTATAACGTTACTTTAATTAACAATTTGGAGTATTTTTACCAACGAAACAATGTTTTGCTTAAAGGAGGAAACAAAACTTGCTCGTGTGCTACAGGGATAAAGACGAAGCGGAAAAGAAATCCTGGATTTAGGTCAACGTTTCGTTCGTATCATACGTACATATGATATAATAATTACGTTACAGTCGTCGCATCGGTGGGATTTCAAATAAAATTAAATAACACCTCAAGCTTAAAAAAAAAAAAAAAAATAATCTAAATTAAATTTTTGAGTGGGCACATTTTAGCATAATATTATACTGGTTGTGTTTATATACAGTGCGTTTACGCTTAGAGGTATCACTAAATATTTCAGTTGGATGGCCTAGTATAGAAATGGAATTTTCGGGGAACGATAGGAAGTACTCAAATACACATTTTCAGATTAATTTCTTATTTTTAACCCATTTCGTACGCTCTTGCGCAATACAACTTACATTTTTTTAAGCAATAACACAATTTTTTTTTCGACATATTCGGATAGAGTATTTTTTTAAAAAAAATTTCGTACAAAAAGTTTCTTTTTAATTACAAAATTGACAAAGTTATAGTATGTTGAAATTTAATATTTGCGAATAATTGGTTATTGACGAAATTTTAACTATGTTCAATTTCAATACTAGAATATCGAAATGATGATATCTCCGATATTGTGAAATACCTGTTTTTAGACAGATAGGACACAAATAAACACTTCAGTTCTTTTTATGGGGGCATTTAAAACATATTGTACATGTGGATTCTCCTACATTGTTGAAAAAGCAAATTACGAATAGCATGTAATAATTTGAGAGAAGACCAAATAAACGCTGCCACATCAAGAGAATTTTTAAACCGTTTGGAATCATGTTTGGAACATCAAGGCGGAAACTTTGAACAATTTATTTTGATAAAACTACATTTGCAAATAAAAAAAAAATCTCAATTTCAAATTAATACTGCGTACATTTTTATAATTTGTATTACATACCTTCAATTTATTTCTTAAGAATAAATAATAAAAATAAGACTAAATTACGAAGAAGAAAAAGTGTTTATTTGTGCCTTATATTTATTTACAAACAAATATTTCACAACATAGGAGATATCATCATTTTGATATTCTAGTATAGAAGTTGAACATAGTTAAAATTTAGTCAATAACAGATTATTTGTAAATTTTAAACTTCAACATACTATAAACTTTGCCAATTTTGTAATTAGAAAAAAACTTTTTATACGAAAATTGACTTAAAAAATAATACTCTATCCGAATCTGTAGAAAATAAACGTGTTACTGTTTTAAAAAAAGTAAGTTGTATTGTACATGCGCTCACGAAAAGGGTTAACAAATTTAAAATTTATTTGAAAATGTGTATTCAAGTACTCCCTATCATTCCCCGACAAATTCCATTTCAACACTAGGTCGTTCAACTGAAATATTTAGTGGTACTTCTTGGCGTGAACGTTAGTATATATATATAACATTATTTTTTCTCGTAAAAGAATTACTATAAAAATACTAACATATTCGAATAACTTAATAATAACTAAACACGTGCGCGCGTATAGTGTAGGTAGAAAAAAAAACCACGAATCTAATGAAAAGTATCCTTAATCGGAGACGGATTGAAATGAAAAATAATATTATACTTGCTTTCGTGAGTGCGAATTAAGTCCACGTTAGAGTTGACAGTAGCAGTGCTGTAATATGGGTTTTTTTTTTTTTTAAAAAATAAATAAAAACGTGAACGCACATCTAATGATGACATAGGTATACAATTAGTGTTTTATTGTTAGATTTATTATATAAGATATTTCCTGGACATTTACGGATTTTCATCGTGTATATATTATTGTCTAAAAAATTAAATACTTTCACACATTTAGCTGAGATAAAAAAACTCCAAATGAACAAAAGTTTATTTTGCACGATTTCGATATTTCTAAATAGATATTTCCAAATTATGATGAGATGTATTTTAAAATTTGAAAGCCACACTATTCAAGGTAGTTATCAGACCGGTTTTTCTGTATGCGTGTGAATTTCGAATAACAACCAAAGGGGATGAAGACAAATTAAACATCCTCGAAATTAAAAGCCTAGGTATGGGAAATGACCGGGGAGGCTGGCTAAGATCAATAATAGATAGATAAAGTTTAAAAGAAGTTAGCGGAAATTGGAGTACGCTATGAAGAAAAAACATTGGCACAGAATAGGGATAAATGAAAACAGATTTGTGTTGCAGTAATGTGTTTCAATGGCCTTTGAAAGTCGAAGAAGAAGAAGAAGAATATAACTTTCAACTAATTCCCATCATGTATCTATCAAAGAATTTCTCTTCAAACGACATTCCTTGTGTGTCGAGAATTTTTCGAGGGTTAAAGTTCCTTTGAATTACTTTCGTTTTTACTCGTAGACTATTATTCGTACAGAGTTACATGCATGAAAAATGCTGTTCATAAACTTACAATGTAGATTCTACACCGACGAATATTGTTTAGCCTTTGCACGACCCGTGCGTATTGACACGGCAAACGCTGACTTAACGAGAAATGCATATCGTTGCATCGCACAACCAAGTTGACTTATGCTGGATTCCGATTATGCGATTAATAATAATAATGTTTCATTAACCTGTCCGTCGGGCGGATAAAAGCCTCGGACGTATAATTTGATGTTTGACTTCATATTATTATGTATAATATTTAAATGCTTATATAAATTCCACGGTTTTATTGTTGTCAAACGAATAATAAAAAATAATAATCGTAACGATTAACAAAGTTAATGTTAATAAAACAACAACCCGTGCAATGACAACGGTGTCACCGCCATAGATACTTTTAACGTTGCTGCGTGGCGACAATTTTCCGACGGTAACATTCGGGCCTACCGTTTCAGCTCTTTTTCCCTCCGAAATGAGACGCGGTTTAATAAATCCCGTTATTTAACCGAAAACCGAACCCGTCCAATACCAACCAATCATCGGAAGAACTCCGTAGCCGGGTTTTTAGATGAAAAATACTTTTAGTATTTATTTATACATGCAGTAGTTTATTTAGTTTGATATTTTCGAGTGTTATCAGTGGAAAACTATTGCCCCGTCAGAAGAACCCTTGAAAGTGCACCCTTGCGTCGCCACTCCCACCCCCCACCTCCGTATATTACGTCAAATGCGTATAATTTCGGGGTAAAAGTCGGTATTTTTCGACTAAGGTACCTTTAGTAATAATAATACTATATGGACATATACTCGTACATTTTTAAAACAATTTGCATACCGAACGCAATGGTTTGAATATAATACAGTCTGGGTATGCGTACCAAGTAGGCGGGAATATAATATAATATTGTTGTTGTCGCACATAGTAATAATATGATTATTATAATACCGACCGAGTGCGCCGAGTGTGTATAAATACTGAAGTATCCGTATAGACTACGGATAAAACTGAATTATAGTTCTCACGCGCTGTCAGAATTATTATTTTATCGCTCGTGTAGTGTGTATTCCGCCGTGAAAAACATAAAAACACACGATCTTCGAAACCGCGTTATGTTTAATAGTCAATTTCACCGAAGAACGAATAATTTGTATCCGCTATCGCGTTTCGATTGATTTAAAACGGCCACCTAATACCAACGGTATACTGAAAATGCAATGTGCACAGACGGAGTTTCAGTTTGAATAGATGTCGGTGTTGACGTTTTTAATTTCCGTCAACCCGTTACGTGCGATTTTCCGCTTTTAAGTTTGTCATTTAGCGGTCAGCGGTGCATCATCTGTGTTTCGACGGCGTTAAGCTTCACTGCACTCCGTATACCTAAATCCGCGAAATCGCAAACTGAAAAGTAGAACGTCCCGTGCAACGAGTCGACGGAAATTCGAAATTTCAGCGCCGGGATTTATTCAAACTTAAACTCCCGTGCGGGTATTTATGGATTTCTGTTTTGATACAATAGGCTGTCGCTTCGCCGTCGAAACGCCGCAGTGGTCTCGGCCCCGAATATAAAAGTGACAAATACAAGGGCACTGTAACGTTTGGCAACGTAATATTATGATTCCACGAATTGTTCGCACAGGTTTGTTTTTTTTTTTTTAGCAACATAATGAAATTATTTGTAGGCTACAGCATACAGTTCGGAACACCCTGCATAATAACAGCGGATGATATCGTCATAAACGGGGACGTTTTAAGCAAACGTCGCGAGTAAAAATCATATTCAGATATTATAATTGCAATGTTTTTATGTTGTTGCGATCGTTATTGTATTGTCATGTCGTTCCGGAGCGGTAAAACGACGACGACCGGCGAAACGTTTCTCGTAATTATACGACGAGATATGCGCGCGATAGTCCTTTGCGGACCGGAATTCGCGTCGTGCAAAATACAACTACGACCGTCCTACCGGTCGTACTACTTTAATGTTACCATAGTTACCGCGACCGCGGTTCAGGTCTCCGGACATGGTTTATTCGTATACATAATTATTATGGATAGTACGAGAAACGGCTAATCCACCGTTCGTGCCGAAATCACGTTCGCGTACCCCTCAAAATGGTATAATTTACGTACCGAGTGTAATTATTTCTCGAAATCGCGCGTTTTGTCGTCGGTCAAGAATTATTATTTTCATTATTCGGCTAGTCGAGGTATTACAACGAATTGAACATAATATTTAAGGCAAAAGGCCGCCGTGAACCAGGCCAGGGCCACGGAGACACGAACGAGGTCGACTGGGTTTTTAAAACTGTTGTTATTACAAGCAGGGTTAATACGACCATTTTCCCGAGACCAGACGTTCGAGGGGCGGTTCCCAGTGTAATGTGTAAACAATTGCATTTTAAAAAATACCTCGGCGCCTACATAAAATATTTCTAATGTGTACAATTTACTTTTTAATCAATATCCGGCACAAACGTAAAAATTATAGAGATATAAAAGCAACACGGGGTATTATGAATACGTATATATAATTATAATGGTTAAATGTAATTTAATAATCTTGTTAAACGTTCAAAAAATACCTGAATATATAAATAGTAGTTTACAGTTGTTCTGTTATTATAATAATTTACAATGAAATTATGCATAAAAATATTAACTATGAATTGTAATTTAAAAAAAAAATTAAATAAATATAATTATTTTATAAACGATTGAATCGGGATTCAAAAAATTCAAATTATTGATAACGTAAAAAATTATCTAAGAATCATTTAAATCGTCTAAAATATTAAATTAAAATATGAATTACTTATTTAGCACTTTCTGCGTTAAAAATATTATTGTATCGACTTGTGATCGTTGTTTTTATTATTGTCTCCATTATATTTGGGATACATTTTTTGTTATTTTTCTTTTTTTCATTAAGTAGATAATTGATTATTATGAAGTTATTTAAGTTCTTTTTTTAGTTTTAAATACAAATGGTTATCGTTGCATTGGAATTGAAATTCAAAATAAACACGGTTTTGCTCTAAGACAGGAACTTAATGTGGACATTTTTTGTTCGATTCTTGATGGTGTACAAAGAAAAAAAAAATCGCTGTCCTAGAAGAAAGTCGTGATCGAGGACACAACAGTAAGTCTGTAAAATCATTGAACAACCGAATACTGAACTGAAATTTTGCGATAAACGCAAAAGTCCGCCGTAAATGACGGACGATTCGATTGAAAATCACGGTACAGGCCAGTATTGATTGTTTTATATATTATGTACTTGTATTATACGAGTAGTGTTGCAAAACGTTTTAGCTCGCCGTGAGGATTCTATGGAAGTTACAAAAAAAAAAAAAAAAAACCAGCGAAAATAATACAATGCGCCGTGTTAATTTATAGTTTATCGTTTTATAACGATCATATAGGTTGCGGTTCGGTTCCGTCTACATTTTAACATTCTGGGATACATTTCGTCACCGGTCCGGTTCTGGTCGGTCGAAATTGCCGCCCGCGCGTATTATAATAAAAAATAACAACGTCGATATTGCGTGTTATCTGTAAACGATACGTAGATATGATCAAATATTTTTGTAATTAAATCGCCGAAAACAAATCGTGTACGTTTTCTAAATACCGATTGGGCGTACACATTACACCAACTGTTACTTGGTTGTATAGTCTGATGTCGAGTGTGAAATGCGTTGTTCAGTGAACGTACGCACGGACGAAAAGTATTTTCGCATTCGAATGATCGAATTAAACCGATGGCCATTTATAACGGATACACTAGCGTTGAACGGAAGAAAATACCAAAGACGTTCCGGTGTATCGAATACACGATGTTCTAACCGCTACGTATTACTTAACCAAATTACCGTTTGAATAATATTAATATTTGACGGAGAGACGCCCCGTAGATTTATGAGTCATACTAACTAATTAGCCTGTTTGACGCACGAACTATGCGTCTTACCACGTTTTCGGCCAAAAACACTAAAACAATAACGATTCGATTGGAAAATATATGTGATTCATCTACAGGGTGATATTTTTCTACGATGAACCAGCAATTATCTCGGAGGATAATTTAAAAATGAATATGATTTCTGGTTTTTTTTTTTTTTTTTAATCATCATGGAATCGTCTGACCTTTACTATTTAAAACCATTTTTAATGTAGTGAGGAAGGATGTTAATAAATTTCGTATGTATTTTTAAATGATAAATTGATAACGCCTCCTTACTCTTTCAGTCTAAATTTCAAACGGTTATAACTCATAAACGGTAAGCCTGATGTGTTATACATATTCAAATTTCCAAAAAAATTATCGCATTTGAAATTTGTGTTTAAAAAGGAGGGTTCCTAAATGTAAATACAAAAGTATAAACTTATTTTGGGTATATGGATTAGAGCTAAACAATTAAAAATTATGTGAAATTGAAGCATAAACTCCATTGATTCCACAATGATTAAAAAAAAAAAAAAAAAACCTAGAAATCAAATTCACTTAAATACCGACGAAGAAATTGCTAGTCCATGATGAAAAAAATTACTCTGAGTATAAGGTGGTCGCACCTTCGGTATTGGAGACTTTGTGGACAACAGACTCACGCGCGCTACACAATTGCACAGTTTGTCGGGATAATAATTCCTTATTTTCTGCAATATTATATTATACTCCAACCGCATCTTCTCGCCGATTACTTACACCGAGATTATCCGAATGCAGAACGGATAAATTATTATATTTTGTCCGAGTCGGGGATGCAGTAGGTCGCGGGATCTTGTATGCATCTATACTCGAATGGGAAAAGGTGGCGCGGTGACGTGAGTGACGGAACGGGATACCCGTCGGGACATCGGAAATAGAGGAGAACGAAGGGTCGAGCAGAAGAGACACGCGACGCGCAGAAATGGTGAGATTGAAAACGAGCGAATAGCAAATATATTATTTTTATTATTATTATTATTATTATTATTATAAATGTGTACGCGTATACACGAGCTGCGTCATAAATCAGATATCATTCCGGTGCACGAGAGAAAAACCCTCCAGGAAGTCGTCGCGGATGTAATATTGTCGTACGTGGGTCGGTGCCTACTGCCTCCACCGCAGATACCTGCCTACTATTATACAACTTTACCGTACGGAAGCAAACAAACATGACAATAATAATAATATTGTTATTTGTATTATTTTCATAACGACGCCATCCGCGAACACCGAGAGTAAGCGAAATCACTGTCATACTTATTACAAAATGTCTAAGTAAAATGTATAATATACACGGTGTCTGTATGTATTTATTTATTTGTTTTCTGTCGCGATCCGGCGACTTTCATTGAGGATATTGCGTAGACAATTGAGCGCTTCTCGTGTTTCACCTCTATCCCGTTACGATATACGATATAAACAATTAACGTTTGATTTTAAAACCCCCGTTTCGATATCACCAAACGATTCTATACTAGGTAAAGTCTACAGTACAATGACTGGAGAAAAAACGATATTTTTTTAATTCGTTTGTTCACAGACAACAGCTGGATGAGAACAAATTTCCCTATCGATAATATTAATAAAAAAAAAAAAAAAAAAAAAAACAATAACGACAATTTTTACAAGGGAATAAATGGATCATGAAAATAGGAAATTTGATCGAAAAGACTATATAGTATTTTATATATATTTAGTAGGCATCGTATAATAGTTCAATTAATAAAATAATAAAGTAAAAACAGGGCTATTAAAATGGTCAACACTCGTAAATAAATAAAGTAAATAATTTATATAGTTGATATTATAATAATGGGTATTGATGATTATTTATCTTTGTTATTATAAATATTATGGTGTACTCCTATAATTTGTACGCGGATGATATTCGACCAGACGAATATTGAGAATATGTGTTCCAGATTCGGGGAAATAAAATATTTTTAACATTTTATCACATCTGTAGGAGGCCAACATAGGTAAGTATTTTGTGAAAATTGCAGGTCTCATCAGTCGTTTTTAACCGAAATGCAACCGACAAACTAAAGACTGCAGTAAATTTTCCCATTTTTCACAGGTTTTCCGGATAATTAATATAACTGCATGAAAAAAGCCAAAACAAATTTCTCATACCTTAACATATAACATGTCTTTCGGAAAACATCCTACGTATGAAAATCGGAGCACTATTTCTGGTTCACAGATATATCTATATCAAAACACACGTCATAGTTGAACCAAAATCTAAAAAAAAAAAAAAAAAAGCAATACGTTATTGGCATTTGGGTTTTATTTGTGACAAACCATCAAAACGAAAGGAGCGGAAGAGGCGTAACCCGAATAGCGATTTCATTCAACGACTTTTATCACATGTTCACCGACAACTCGGTATGCTGATCGATAATATATTTCGGTAATTTTTTTTTATATTTATCCTACGCGTAGTTGTAACAAAAAAAAAAAAAAGCTGGTAGTACTTCGCAACGTGGATAGGCCATTGTAGTAAGTGGGAAGTTTGTATGATATAAAGGATTGCACCTAGCGTACAATTTAATTTTTATACTGAAAAAAACGATACAGCATTGCTATCAAATAACGATTCTGAGCGGAGCAGTATTAGTATCGTATTTTTTAGCTTATTATAGCACAGAACAGAAATAAAACCGATGCGTCGACATTAGTTTTTAATGGACAACATGCTTAGAATGGCCGTAACGCGTAAGATGGTGTGTCACCATGTATTTTCGGCTTACAGACGATTGCTATGGTTTTTTGAGAAAAAGACACACTTCGGTAAAACCGTGGAAGGTTTGTTAATTTTAAAAATTGCATCCAAATGTACAGACAATCACAGGATCGCTTGTAAGCAATCATATTGTTTTTTTTTTTTTTTTTTTATGACTAAATTAACAATTTTTAGACTATTACCAGCAAAAATGGCATACCATTATGGAAAAACTGTTTTTTATTTTATTTTCAAATAATGTGTTCCATCTTATCATATGATATTTTGTTATTTTATTCGATTGTTTATATTATTTTTTATTATTTATTATTTTGTAAAGCGGATCACTTTCGCCAGTCCTTTGGGCTGAAAATGTTCTATAGAAACGGTAATCCTTTTCTACAATAGCTACTGCCACAAACGAGACGTGTCATTGTGTCCTTAAGTATTTTGTGTTTTTTTTTTTTTTAATGCCCGTTATTGTCATTGTATAATTAGATTGGTGGTCATCCGAAAACTTTAGAAGAACCCGTCATATTATTCCGTCGTTATAGAAGAGTAATACGTAGTATAGTGTATATACGTTTTAATTATTATTATTGTTATTATTATTATTTTTTTTTTTTTGATATGTACGTATACATTAATAATAATATTATTATGTGTTCGTGTGCATAAACAACAGTGTACATGTATTACGCACGCAGTTACAATTTTTCTTTTTTCTTTGTTTTTAAATACCTACTATTTACCACGGACAAAACCGGTAAGTATACTGTTAAATTATTGCGAAAGAAAAACGAAAACGCAAAAATCGCTGACATAATACAAATCGCTTAATAACGTAAACAATAATTATGCACTGTACATTTATTCATATTTGTATTATTAATAAAAGGCCACCCGCATAAAAAGATACGGCCCGAAAACAACAGCCAACTGCAGTCGTTACAAAGTTTCACGCGCAAAATAGCCCGCAGTAATCGTTTAAGTTTTATAAGGTACGTTCAATAATAAAATTCAGTAGAATTTCCCATTTTTTTTTTTTTTTTTTTCGTTTTAAATTAACAATCCAGTATATATATATATATATTGTGCTGAAGGCGGTGTTGTCAGTTTCTTGTATAACTATACTCGGAAACCGATGTTAACTCGTTGCAGTATCACTACGCCGTCTAAGTAAAACTCTCAATAATAATATACTGATTTATAATTTATAATACGGTTTTGCGTATTTTTATTGATGAAACGCTAATTTATGTACTAACAATCAACATGTTGTAGGCGCTTCGTGATACGGGCAATTTGCATTTTTTACTATGGCATTTTGTTGACATTTCTCACCTCGCATAGGTCTACGCCTATAATATATGTCTCAGTCGTGGGTGGATTCGTAATTTTCCAGGAACCAGACGCGTTTACTTTTTTCAAGTCCTTAAGTAGGCCTCACACAATACCTCCATTATACGAAAACCATTTCGTTTTGTTTTCTTTCGGTTCCCAATGGTTGTTATTTATACCGTTGATTATACATAATTTTATAATCGTTTTTCAATTTTCAATTTATTCTGTCTATCACATATACGGAGGATCGTTGATTATTATAGTTACGTTATCAGTCACAAAACACAAAACACATTTTTAGACTAACTATTTTTTTTTTTATTATTTTTTTAATCGTACCTCGACGATTTTCAAGACATTACTCTGCATGAACATTTAATGTAGTATTTTTCAGGAATACATAAACGTATGTTCTAACACAATTGACGTTACGAAATTAGTTACACTCCCAAACGATTTATTAAGCGGGCGATTATCTGAGGGGATCGCGGACCGATATGGTTCTAGACGCCTCAATCAAACGTTACGTATAATTATAACCGTGTACTAATGGTTTAAATTTCAAATATTGACATTGATATAACTATTATTATCATATCATAATGTGTATCGAACGTTTTCGTAAACTGGACTTTATCGTATTAACGACATTATCTCTAACATTATTACGTTCTATACATATGCGTGTATAATATATTATTTATTATCATTCGATGCATGTCCGTGAGGTCTGGATTTATTTAACCAACCATCGGATTTTCGCCCACGAATTTCGTTCTTGTTTCATGATTTTATAGCAATTTAAGTCTTTGAATGACCCTTGGGCTATTTAAAGGTTTTTCGAAACGAAAAAGTATACCAATTATTATTACGATTCTGTAGGTACCTAAGAAAATATAGACGAATAATATTCTTTATATATATATATACACGTATAAAATATTATTAACTCGTGACTAAAAATAAATACTTAACGAGCGAAAATCGTATTTAAAAGTTATACGCAAAGTCGTGTCTCGGAGAGTTTTCTTTCAACAAAATAAAACGTTTATAACAAACGTAAACTAAACTAAATGACGACGGGAATACGAAACGCAATATTATTTCAAAACAACGTAAATATAATAAAACGGGTCCGCATCACTCGAAAACGAAATTCGAAATATTCAAAGGTAACGGAGCGCCGCGTAAACCTGCGGACGGCGAAAAACTATATAAGTAAGTATTTCTAAAACGGAAATATTGTTAACGATAATAATTGTGTTATTTAGCTGAAAGTTTTTAACATCCGGCAGTTAATAATAATAAAATTATGTAACGCGAATTCCTACGGGAGTGCAATAATTCTGTTTAACGTTTTGTTCCATCCGACTACGGCCGTATACAAGTACACCGCTCGTGGTCTGCGAACACCGATCATACCAGCCGGTTACCGTAATACGTTAACATAACATTGTTGTCGTGTTTATCGTAATCTGTCGTTAACGCGTGAAGTTTAATAATAAAATATATGATGAATTTGCGGGCCTTGAAATGAACGCTTGTCGTACGGCTTCGACCAAAATCATAATTGTAATATAGTAGTTAGATATCTATTAAATACAATTAAGACAGTTCACGAAATATTATATAACGAGTATGAAACTTTTAACACAAGTTACCGTTTGAAAATCAAAAGTTGATAGAGTCGTTTCGACCCCGAAAAAGTAATGATAAAGTAACAGTTTCGTTCTGCTTATTTCTTAAATAATCAAACCCTTTTTTTTTTTTTTTTTTTTTTAAAAATACTTTGTGAAACAATGCGTGTTTAACGATAAAAAAAAAATACCATCTATATGTTATACATATAGTTGTTACTTTGTTAGGCACGCCGTACAAATCGACTGTGTAGTTTTTTTTTTTGGCACTAGTTTGAATAAGATCACACTACACCGTTATTATTATGCAATTTGCATTATATATATTGCATTGATGATCACGGGTGAAGGTGGAAAAAATACACTATTTTATTACTGTGGTCGGACGGAAAACGCTATTAGATATTTTACACATGGGTAGGGTTTCGTGTCGGTTCGAAAATTAAATTCGAACTTCTTTACGAAGTTTGGCCGATTAATACTTATGCATTGTTTATTGTCAGTTCGAACGCTATTATTATTAACACGCAATGATCCGAATGCCAATGTACAGATATCTATAGGTACTTAACATTAAAATATAATTATATTACAATTTACTAAGATCGTACGAAACACGACGATGTATTATTATACAATATTAAACCGATGAACGGATATTGTTATAAATGGAATTTGTGATATAAACCGCTTATAAATAATGCGTAGCCATATAGCGTATTGGAATATTTAAAATCGGATTATTTACCGAGTATCGAATGTCTACGGTAAATTTCGATGTAATTCCTACGTAAGAATATATTGTGATTTGCCGATATTGTCACTCATCTTCGTTATCTTCGGTTTTGTATTTTCGTTTCGTTTACAAATGGACAGTATAGAGTGGGACCAACCTTCGATAAGACACACGTTAGAAAATATTAACTTGTTCATATTTTTTTTAGAATATTAGTATATTTGAAGTTATAAAAAAAAAAAAAAAAAAATAGTTTACCCGCAATTTTTTTTATTTTTATACAATTTCAACATGATTTTAATCTGATGAAATTGCTGATAAAAAAATGTACATGATATTCCACGGATTTTTCCCCATTAATAAGAAAACTACAGAGACGACCGAAAAATTACTTTCCTCAATACACCAACTAGAAAGAGTTTGGTACTCAGATATTGATAATTGGGAGTCAGGTTTCCGGTCAAATAGTTGTACTCTGTAGTCATCAATTTCTAAGGTCGTTTCCGGTAACAAAGCGTGTCTAGTTTGTACATCGTAGAGGTAATTTTTTTTTATTTCTTTTGTATTTTTATCGATAATTCGGAAAAACGTCGAAAAAAACTAGAATGATTGTAATAATAACAGTATGTGATTTCGTTTAGTTTTTTCTTTTTAGTTATTTAATCAAAATAATCTTACAGGCCTGAAACGTTTACTAAATATCTACATATTAGATAAAAAAAAAAAAGAGTACTTTATACAATGCGGTACAAGTTTCAAAACAATACGGCGATTTTTCGATATTTAATTAACCTTTTGAAATTGTTAAGTTTTATTGATAATTTTACCGTCGCGTCGTAACGCATTATACTTTGATACATTTACAAGCTTTTAATTCAATTTCTAAACCTCTGCGTTTCCATAATGCAAATAATAACTTACTGCAAGCTGACCAATGTTATATTAGCTGTCGTGTATTACAACCGAAACACTTTAAACCCACAGAAATGTCTAAAGTAGCGTTTGGACCGCGAATAATGTTATATTAGGTCGTTTACAACCGGAAAACTTCAAGCCCTTAGCTAATGGAAATATCTGTCCATAGTCCGCCCGGTTAGGAGTATTATAGTAAATTGAAATGTTTACACCATTAGAAACATTAATATTATAATATATAATATCTCTATAAACTATAAATAGTTATAAAAAAATTTTAATGTTTAAAATATTTTATATAAATGTATTAAATCTAAAAATATTTGTTGTATTTTAAAGTTAATAGCATTAAAACAAGAGAAATTAATAACTATACAAAAATCAAATTATATATTGATAATAATTCGATGCATGACGTTTATCCCCAGATTTTCGTAGTTATTAGGATAATTGGGCGGAAAGTTAAACTACCGCTTTCTTATTTATCAACTAGACAAAATTTCCTTTCATAAAATATGCGACTCTTGAAATTTAGAACAAAGATTTTTGGTAAAATATTATAATCTTCACAATGTCAAATAATGAAATCGTTGCGCCGTAGTTTGAAAAAAAAAAATTGTATTTATCATATTTTTGGTTTTTCACAATTATCATGAAAACAACTTAAGATATCAAACAATTATCTTTTTCTTCCAGTAGCTAAACATTAAATGAAACGAAATCGATTCTTTATCATTTGTCGTAGAAAACATGATTTTCAAATGTTAAAAACAATGAAATTAGTAACGCTGCGGCGTGTCGTAAATATTTGCCGTTTCACTTTTTTTTTTTTTCAAAATTTCTCACTTTGAAAACCACTAAAATAATGACTTCTCTAATTCGCCAACTAGCCAATAATAAATTTCAGAAAAGTTGCTTCACTCAATAAATCGGAGCAAGAGTCCTAGTTATAAAAAAAACCACATCATTTTAAAACCAAACCAATATATCTCTCGCTATGCTCCTAATCTAAAATAGAAATTGATATAACCTATAATTATAAAAGTTCTGAAAAATTGAACTACAAGATTTTATTTACGAACTATTAATCAACTGTTACAGAAACGAACACAGTGTTGGAACAAAAAAAAAAAAAAAAATGAAAACCTCATTTTCCAGGCAATAAGCTATCATTCGTATAATTTCATTCCATTTATATAATTTTGACGTTAACCAAATAATTTCGTTTACAATAAAATGTTTACATTTATAGAGGGTACGAGAACCCGAGTTACCAAAAACATGATTCCAGGGAACAGATATATTGGCCATTAATTTACATGGAAAGAATTTAAAAATTCCGACATCAGAGGCAGAAATGAAGCTTAGAATTTTTATAAACTTTCAATCTTTCTTTTTTTCTTGGAATTCTCGGCCTTCGAAATAAATGATGATTTTCAACTAAATCATCAGATTGAGATTTATATTGGAAAGGACAGTATGCTATATAAAAAAAAGGCCCCGAGAGACGAGGCTGCAGTATAATATAATGACTTTTGGCGTATGGGTACGTAGCGAATCGGACGATCATTATATGGTATCCTTAAAAACAGAATACGTCGATTCGACAAGAAGCTGCAATAATTTCCGAATCTGCCTCTCCCTACCGTATATATTTTGCCAGCTACATTATAATATTCACCCGAAGTTGATTTCAGATATTTTTTTAATATACATATATATATATAAAGTTAAAGTAATATAAAACGTGTAATATCCATTTCTATCCCGTCAATCCCACTTTGGAACTTTGTGTCGTTACCCTATATCATAGTTACGAATCCATGATACATGTTATATTTGTTACCTGTATACTTTGAATAGAAAATAGTTTGATGACCAAAAATGATTTTCGTCGGTGCGATTAGTCTAGATGATAAACAAAAAAAACAAAAATGAGCTTATACTGCTGATTGGTATGCAACTGTTGTAGGTGAGAAGTTGGGAAGGTAGGATGTAAATAATTGTTCAAATTAAATCTGTACGCAATAATAAATGATTTTTCATGAAATGCGATTTCAAACAAATTTCGGTTTACCGTGCCTCAAAAAACGTCATAATTTTGAAAATTGTTATTAAAATTCAAACTTAAAAAGCTTACGAAAACAAACAAATTACGCTTGACTTTTTTTTAGTACTGAGTATAACTTATAATGAAACTTGCATAAAATTGCTAAGTCGAAAAGTACGAAACCATTGTTTTCGTAAATTTTAATTTTTTTCCTTAATATTATCCCAGTTAATAAGAAGACTACAAGGAAAGTATTAAACCACCACCCAGTGGCCAGTAATCTAACAAAACCAAACAATCGTCCAGAAGATACTACACTTGAGTTGTGGAACAAGATTTATGATAGAAACTTTCATTTTCATAAATTTATCCATTTATACCTATACGTATTATTATTTATTCCTAGGATTTCCCTAATTATTATCAAAACTGATTGCATAATTTAAAAAATAATCAACAAGAACCAAAATTCTACAAAAAAAAACTCTCGTGTCATTTTCGATTGCGGTAAGATTTCTTGATAGATGAGTTCTTCACATACAGACAAAAATAAATAAATTCACGTTTAAGAAAAAAAGGAAATACTGTAGTAAAACCAAATCATTATCCGCTACACTCAGAAACTAAATTGTATTCAGAAATTGTTTTTATTTCAACAAAATAATAAACACCAGACTGAAATTAATTGAATTCGACCGAAACCGTAGCGAACAAAAAAACCGCACTAGTAAGCAATACCCAATAAAGTAAATAATAATAATAAAAAAGCTACATTTTCTTCTTTGGACTTATACGCACGAAATTATTTTCAAAAAAAAAACTAAAAAAATAAAGGGAAATTTTGTTTTTTTTTTTTTTTTTGTTCGGACAAAATTTTTCTTTCTCTCGTTTGTCGCAGCCATAGATATGATTATGTGTATGTGCACAGTAAAAATGCAATAAAATTGCTCGAGTCAACGATAAAACGGGAGGTCGAATCGTCGGGGTTTAAAAATCAAACCCTTAACAATCCCCCGGGATCGTATATACGTACCTACTATATTCATGCGGAATAGATGTTTGCAGTAGACTATGTGCGACCGACTCCCGAGAGTGCGTTTCAATTGTTGTACAATAATAAACCCGGCGCACGGGTACCTATATAAAATATTATACACACGACACGACGGATATACCCGTACGGTTTTTTAAAAGAGAGAATACAACATGGATTCCACTGACGTAATCAAAACGCACAATACATATATCATCATTGTCTACTAATACGATGGTAATAATAATAGTTGTCGGTTAAATAATTCAAACGAAACGCAAACACGACGACGGGATCCCGGGTAAATTGCATTATGCAGGCGCTAAAAACGCCGGGTTCTATTCACCGCAGTCCGCCGCACGAGGTACACTGTTATTATCAATAAACGCGGTCACGACGGTTAACGGCATTAGTCTTATCGAATTTTAAATCGGACCATTTTAAAGAGTTCGTTTCTACGCGCCTAACTGCGTCACAATAATCTGGAAATCCGGATCAACTGCAGTATTCGTTATGGACGTTTTCGATGCGCCATTTGAAAAAAAAGGGGTGTGTGGCTATTGCACTTCTTACTTTTATAATAGTCCCAATTAACCTACTGGAATAACGCGCCGGGTTTTTTTTTTTTTATGTACTTTAAATTAAATTATATTTGCATACGTCATGTATTGTGAATATTGGTATTTTACATTCAATAAATAATTATCGGGCTATCAAGCAATTGAGTAAATAATAAAATGTGTGTCGTGTACTTACATAATCTACCAGACGTACCTGATACCTTTCAGAATACAGATATAGATCAGAACTCACGCGGTCCAAAGTTGAATAACGTTGACGTTGAACAAATAACGGTCGCTTTTCAGGAATCACTCAACATTATTTCAGTAATAAAAACTTTACCATTTGCAATGGCATCAAATGAAAGGGTTTTTTCATCGCGTACAAATGTCTTACTTACGCGCTTTCGTGGGCGATAATGAAAGGCTAAACGATCTTATTGTACTAAATGTCGAAACAGAAGAAGTAAATAATAATATTGATTCAGAAAAAAGATGTTGATGTATTTGCTGGACTTAAAAATCGCCGGTCTAATTTTTATAATTTTTTTTTTTTTGTATTAAATACAGGACAAGCCCAAAAGTACAAGTGATAACGGTACAGGTTAAAAATTGAATGAGGGGTCCGAGTAGACAGCGCGCATAAATCGAGAAATGGGCGAGTCGAGAGAATAATTAGAAGAAGAGAGCGGAATTATGAAACGCAGAGTAAGTTGAGATTAGAGAAAAAGATAAATTATTTTGCCGGAGATGAGTTTAGAGAAAAAGAGAATGTTAGATAAGTGTCTGCGATCAGCAAGGCTAGTTAGTCGTAAATCATAGAGAATGAAGGAGTAATCATGAGGTGGGTGGAGGATGTTGAAACGGAAAGAGAATAAATAGAGGAATTGGCGTTGAACACACTCGATAGAGGACGAAGCCGTAATCAATAATAAGACGAAAAAGGGAACAGAAAAAGGTTTTAAGTGGGTTTTGTATAAATATAATACAATTTTTTCCAGAGCGTTTTGCTTTTCTTTTTTTTTTACTTCATTTATCGTCTTCTATATGTATGTAAATTATACATTACTAATTGGCGTTCACAGGTGAAGTATCAATCGACGTCAAAAATGTGCTTCGCGGCCCGGAAGACATCTCATTTCGGGATTCTGACAGGGATTCTACATATGATCAAATCACGGCAGCCTCTTTTCGTGGCTCAATCAAATGGCCATAGGAACGGTGATCAGTCTTGGACACCAAAGTCTACGCACGCAGCAAAACCCAGTCACCGGTTCAAGGTCATATGTACAGATTAGATTAGGTTGGATAGAAAAAAAAAAGTAAAATATCAGTTATTTATTTTTTTTTTTAGATTTTAAATAGCTTTTTACTATTCATTTTTATTGCGATTCGTGATCTATTGATACAATCAAAAGCGGGTTAATACAGGCACGTGTGTGTATACATTTTTACGCGGCCTGGTGAAATGTTTAAATTGATTGGCTGAAACGTTCACGAGGGGGTGGTATCGTCCGCGTTGCGAACCAATGTTGTAAACCGTGAATTCCGGATAGCGGTTCGCGTGAGTGGGTTAATTGAGTTGTTATCGCTAAAAGACGCCGAAGAGCGTAGGATATACGAAGCTAGGGCGAGGACGAGGACATTATGCATTATACATTGCAATAAACATATAAAACTTTTCTTATCATTATTATCAAACGTGAAAACTTTCGTATTTGGCGCACGAGTCGTACGCATTGCATTTAATGTAATACACATTCGACGTGCACTGCCGTATTGTATACATGTATTGTATGCACTCGCGTAATGCACTCGGGGAATATTACAATAATTACTGTCGCGGGGCGATAACGATCTCTAGACTTATTCCGCAATCGGATGCGCGCGCGCGCATAGATATTATTACGCGCGTGAATAAATAACGCCTCGGAAAAAAAAAACTTTACGAAAAGTTATTTATGCATTTTATCCGCTTAAATAAAAAAAAAAAAATAATAAAAAACACGCATGCACGCGTTACAGCGATTTCCCACCGAGCTATACGCATACATATTTATTACCCGTAACATTCCCATTCGAAATGTGCGTGCGTAATAATAACGTTCCGTAAACTTCGCGCGTGTTCAAATAAAAATAAAGTTTCGAAGGGGCATTTTTTCGGCCAGACGTGGCGGTCCGCCAACATAATACGAACATTATTTCAACGCAATGCCAATTGTGCGTGGTGGTGTACGTCCGGCGGCGCACGCTGATCGGAGCGACGTAATGGACAGAACCCGCGCACCAATCCTCCGATTGGAGATTCGTTTTTTATGCCGATAAGCGGGTGTTGCCGGTAACGTACACCCGCCGCCGGACGAAATTGATTTATCATCGGACACGATTACCGTCCGCGATTTTTCCTTTCCCCCCCCCCCCCCACCCCTCCACGCCGACGTCCCACTAGTCTCACGAAACCGTCCACACCGTCCGCGGTCCGAATTCTAAACGGTAAAACGCACTCGCGTTTCACGACCCGAAATCGGACTATCGGAATTGTCTTTCGTTTCATGCGCCGTAGCCGTACTACCGCGCACAATATTTGTTGTTGTCGGTCGGTTTTCGGCGGGCGCCGCGGCGTGCTTTGCGCTCGATAATGCGAACGCGTCGTCGACGAACGGATTAAACGCGCGCGGGCGCCGCGCGAACGGCGGCGGCGGCGGCACCGGTCGGTTCGCCGGGGCGACGAGACGAGACGGACGCCGGCGTTATCGCCGGAGCGTATTGTGATCGCGTCGACCCGCCGGCCCGGGGTATACCCGCGACAACGGCGGCGAAACGGCCGCGGACGATACCGACGGGACCGCGTTCCCATTCGAGGCCACCGCGGGTCGGCGACCACAGCGGCACGACGGCGGCGGTACGCCGCGTAATCCACTGGCTGTTCGCGGCACGGCGACGCGACGCGAGCCCGGAACCGCGGCGCACGGTTTCACGCGAACGGTTTCCGTGCGGCCCGTTGACGTTTAGCGACGCGACGAAGTTACCAATTCAAATCGACTGCGCCGCGAAAACGCAATACGTCACGATCGAACTGTCGATCGCTCCTCTCTTTATCACGAACGTGAATTTGCCCGTTCTGTACTTATTTTTTTTTTCGATTTTTTTCAATTATTAACAAAAAAAAAAAAAAACCACACAAAATACGACTCGCTTCTTGAGCTGATCCGAAATTCAACGAAAAACGGTCTGTTGTCTTTTTTCCTATCGGGGCAACATTTCTTGTAGAAAATATAGTTTTCGAAAAATTAAAAACAATGAAATCGGTAACGCCATAAATATTTGTGGTTCATCTATGGTTCTGTTTCGGAATTTTCCCCATTATATTGATAATTTCACGGGTAATCAATAAATCAACTCTCCAATGCACCAACTAGATAAAATTTCCTTTCGGAAAAAGTGCTTTTAGCTTACGACTAGATTCCGCATGTTGTGAACATTTTTATTTTTATTTGGCCAATACCAGTCAGGCTCAGCTATAAATTTGTCTCATACTACGTAGAATTTATAATTAAAAGCCATTTTCGTTTTGCTTTTCTAACGATGTCCTTCGTCTTTTTACTTTTAAAATTTATATTACTATTCATTTTATTTTTAATCAGATATCTGGTGTACATCTACACTCTAAGTACGTACTTTAATATTATTTAAAAAATTCAACAGTTATTTTCATGTTATGACATATCAACGAGAATAGGTTTTTAATATTAATACTTATAGTTATATAAGATTCTTAAGCGAAGCGAAGAATGCGCTGGTTTTGTAATAATGTTTATTTTTTTTTCTTTTTATGCTGTGTACTCAGTTTTTTTCTTAATATCCTCCTCGATTCAAAACATGACAAGAGACCATTTTTGTTGCCTTTTAGCTCTAGACAGTATTTTAGAAATATCATTTTTAGAAAGTCTCATTAATATTCGAGATCATAAAGAAAAACTGGTTCTATAGATTAATAATACGATTGTCATTGTCAACCGTTTTTACATACGCTTTGTTATAATTAAGTTTTTATTATTTTAAACTCTTTTAAACAATCGTTATTGTCGTGAACACGCACATAATGTCGAAAAATGTATAATAATGTCTGAGCTCCCCTCAGAATCGTTTTCCGTTAGTAATGTTTAATCGTTGCTTATAGGTGTGAATTAAATTGCTCTCTATATATCTTAAACCTTCCCAACTTCTCACTTATAACAGTGGCCCGCCCATGGTGAGAAGTACGTCCGTATTTTCAAAAATATATTTTCGGTTTTTTTTTTTTTAATTTTTAGTGCATTTTATGATTTTTCTTTTAACGGAGTTTTTTTCATTTTTTTGTTTTTTTATAGAGATACAACATCCAAACTCTGGCTCACGATAATTTGTTCAAAAACATTTTAGGCATTTTTAGACATTTAATATGGTGTTATCGGATACATGCATCCAAAAGAATTTTAGACATTTTTAGACATGATGTGATATATGATAGCGTTGCGTACTGAAATTCTCTCTCCTTGGATAAAATACCAATTTTATGTATCAATTTGTTTTCGTATTTTTCTGGGGAAACCGGCGTTTATAGCACGCGCCCAATATTGCGTTATGTATATTTATACATATATATATATATATATATTTTTTATTGATATAAAAATTCGTAAATACATTGTGCGCGTTATGCGTACGCCATACCGTTTTAAAATTTATTATATTCGAGTGTTTGGCACCGGTAGTGCAGTGCCGCGCGCCACGTCGATCCGTTTCACCCGGGCTCTGCGAGCATCACAGAATATTTCCCTCCTCCCCGCTATACATTTGTGTGTGTGTGTGTGTGTGTGTGTGCAGTGTATTTACATGTATATATATACACGCGGAAAACTCACCAAGGCGAGTAACAGGATAAAAGGGATTTTTCGTTCGTTCGTTTTTTTTTTTTTTTTTTGCTCCCTGTGAGACCAGTCTAGTATAAGATATTTTACGTGCCCCGAACAGAATATTAGTATATATTAGTGTATATAGGTTATACTGCACATTTTATCCGTATGCATGTATACATATATATATATATATGCGTGTATACTCCACTCTACTCGCACGTAGTATTAAATTTTAATCCGACTACGTTCTTGGCGTGTGCGCCGGTTTAGAAATAATAATAAAAAAGAAGAAAAATAAAAAACCGAAAAAAGCCCCGCGTGCTATATCCGTTTTAAAGAGATACCTACTGCGCAGCACCGCAGGTGAAACGAAACTTCAAATTGCGAGGGAAATCGCGCGATTTTAATAACTACGAAAAATATACAACACGGCCCGGAGACGGCTGTGCGAGGGAGGCGGTGGCGCCGGCGTCGGTGATTGTGTTCCGCCGGATGAATTTTCCGTAAACTACAAAGTGAGTATTTCGCTCTCGCCGGAGCGGTTTTTAATTCCGAATAATAATAAGACGGCGGCGGCGGCGGTGGTCCTCATTTAAATAATTAATATATCGCCGAAAACTTACTTTATATATTATAATATTTGTCTCGTTATAATGCGAATAATAATGATAATAACGGTAGTAGTTGTCCTTGTAAATAATTATACCTATACAATACGTAAACACCGAATCAAATTTATACGTATAATTATTTGAAAATACAGTTTTTCGGGAATGTATTTTCAAAACCGCGCAAGAGACAGAGAGAGAGAGAGAGAGACAGAATGCATTTTTTCCCTTCGTTATAAAATAATAATTACCATAAGTAAGTGCAGACAATATGTTCAACGTTGACGGAAAACCAACGTTAATATAACACAGTGTTAAATGTTTCGAAACGTTTTCAAACGTATTTGTCAATATCGGACATGTATTCGACAGCCGCTTTTTGCCGTCGAAATTATAAAAATGTATTGTTTAATCTGAATATCGGCGGCACCCTTAATCTTGTTTGCGTCTTGGCTTTCTTCGCGTTTTAGATTCCGAGTATGACGAAAAATCTTAAGAAATTTGTTCGGTTTAAAAGTTAGTAGTTTAGAAAAAAATTTAATCGACTCTCAACAAACAGTTCACTGTCTAGGTCATTTTTTCGGTTTTCAATTAAATTTTGCGTAATCTTGGTAAAAAGGAGGTAAAAATAAAACTCATAATTGTGTTTCTATGATATAACGTTACGTAAATAATATAAACCTAATCACCCTATATTTTCATTTCGTTCCCAACAGTTTGTTTTTATTATTTTTTACAATACAAAAGCAGCGAAAAAATAGTGTACACCAAAATGTGATTTTCGATTTCGTCATATGATACATTGCAATTGTAATTTGATGATATCGGATTCTCTTTGGTAATTGTATTTTTCTTCCCGCGGTGGTTAATAATAAATTCGTATTCGTTGTAATACAGATACCATAATATTATTTGTTTGAAAAAAAAAATATCTCATTTATCACAACGCAGCTAATATACACAAGGTTATTTTGCAACTTAAAATGTGAAAAGCAAGAAGAAAAAAAAAAATGACAGTTTGATAACATTTTAATTGTAAAAAATAGTTTTTTCGTTTTCGGAACTAAGCTTTTAAAACCCTAAAACCCAATTCATACGTTATTATTAATTTTGAGGTTCCGAGAAAATCCTTACGATCCATATTGCAAAGAAAAATAAATAACTGGATTAGTATTTTTTTTTTTTATAAAGAGTGACATGACGTGTGTGTATAAAATATAATACAAACTACCCTGTGTCTACAGGCTGATCAACATAACGTAACGCATTCATTGTCACAGATTATATTAACCTTTAACCAAATTTGTTTTTAGTTAATTTTTAAAAAAAATAATAGTAGTACGTAAATAGAAAATGTATACACACGGTTATTTGTTGTCGTATTTATTTTGAAAGTGTAAAACCACTACTTAATTTCGTTTTTCGAGAGTCAACCTCGATTGTAAATCCTATAAATGGATATTGTATCGGTTCAAATAAATGGCAGTGTTGATATTTTCGATTCCGGTCAGCTAGCCGACGAGTTATTTCATTTTTAATGTAGGGAAAAAATCGCGGAACGCTGTTAAAACGCCGTACACCGTGTCGCCATACAAACGATTTTTCTCACCCCGTCCCCCCCTCGCCACCGCCGCCGAAAATTAAAAGCGGAATAGTTCGTCGACGGGTCTGCAGAAATTAAAAACGGCAACGCCAAAATATGCTTGAACCAATACACTGACTGTTATAGGTTTGCCGTTTAAAACATCAAGTTCGGAAGCGTTAATAACCGCGTGCTACTAAAATAGTTGATACTCCCGGAGACAATGAGTGCGCCTTACATTGTCACGTGTCGACCTACCCTCACCCTGTACGTATCAACTGGCGTTGTATTCGTTCAGACAACCGATGAAATAACTATCCTAGACGTAGATAAAAGATGCACAACAATATTGCACCAGCTTTATGAGTAGAAAATATCGTTCTGAACATTTTGAAAAGTGTACCTAACGCAATAATAATCGGATTGTCCGTTTATGAACCACGGCAGTTTGAATTGAACACCGGAACAGCAGGGAAATTAAACGTCTGAAAGTGGATATGAAATTTACATAAAACACAACGGCGGATGCGCATCCATCAGCAGTTTACCGATTTTTTTTTTTTTGAAATTGCAAACGATATCGACCGTATCCGTATACATCGCAATAACATAATATAATTACGAGTAAATATGTTTTTTCCCGTAGCAAACATATGCAACATTTTCCGTACATTCAATGTTATACGATTCGATAGCTGCACGCGTTACACCGTTTTCCAACGGATGTTTTTCTTGTACGTTATATTTGTTCGATCGTTATATCGTTGTGTCTACACACGTCAGTGTTTAAGTACGGCTGATCAATCGTCACGCGTTAGCGTAGTGACGTTACGCTCCACTACGTATTATATTATGTTTACCTAAATACAACGCGCAGAAATAAAAGAACGACGGGAATGTCGTTTCTCTTAATTTTTACTCTCGGGTATTTTCCTGGAATTCCTGGAATTCCGCGGGTGAATTTGCCTGCTGCTACTGTTGTCGGGCGCTGGAAATAAATTTCGTAGGTGCGTAGCATATGCTATCGTCGACTTAAGTACGATGCTTCGGGCGCCGAAATACCGATCGCAAATATTATGGCCTAGTGACGAAATCCGAAATTGTTTAGGCACCGTGTAATGGCGTTTGTGATCGGGAAGTTTTACGGGGGCCCGGAAAATTGATTATACCGCTGCGGCCGTTTCACCCGCGATAACGGACAACGGAATGATTGCTCCGATATTGAACACCAGTAATAGACTCGGCCGCGCCCGAGCGAAATATTTATCATTCGACGATATTATGACGTCGGTGTGGGTATTCGTACCTTTTCATAAAATTCGACGCATCGACGCATCAACGAAACTCCTCGTGACGGATAATTGTTGGCACGGGATTATTTTCATACGATAATCATACTGTACGCGCCGTGCGTTTCACTCGAATGCTAACACGAAATATTTCTGGCCAAATGGACTTGCAGATTGAAATGAGATTTTCCTTAGGAACGTCATGGATAACGAAATACGGACGCAGAGCGTGTTTTAAAAAACTTAATAGGGACTTTGTTGTAGAATTTTTAATCTGGTTTGTCCGTTGAGAAGGCCGTTTCCTTGTAGTTTTTTTTAATAAATGGGAAAATATACGACAAACAATTCCCAGCTCAGAACCGTTTTTCATTAGCAATTTTTTATCGCTATACACAAATATAAATTAAATATCTTTGTAAACTCTTAATTACTTTATATACTCAACTTACCCTATATATTTTTCCTTCTTAATTGTCCCTTTAAACAATGGTATACCTTTCAGTAGTGTTAGCCTTTTTGAAAAAACCGAACCTTATCTAATGCAATTTTGTTCTTTAATGTTTGATGTACATAAAAATTTTCAGAAATATATCTAAACCTTAATAAAAAATATAATTATTTTTAAATTAAAAAAACAAAATTTATACAACTGAACTCATGTTGTTTTATTGTATATTTATATGGTCATCATTAAGACATTAGCTACTGAACAATTGGTAAAAACGTCTTCACGTTTTAAGTAGTGAATATTGTGTTTTGAAAAAAAAATTTTAGATCAATTTATGTGACGAAAAAAAAAATGTAAGAGTTAAGGCTACTTTGAAAAAAAAAAACGGTTGTTGAATACTGTTTTAACGTATTGTGTATTATGACAACCGAGCTGATGTTCATAAAGAGAAAACCACCCCAATGTCCAACTGGCTAAAATATTAGGCGAACAAAACACCAGTCCCGTTAGGCATTCAAATATTTGTATTTAAATATCTGTTGGTATCTTAAACAGGTACTTAAAAAATACATTTTTAATTTTTTTTTTTAAGATATTTTTATTCCAAAATACAAAACATATTTGTTCGTGTTACTGTTATATTACAATATTATCGTATTCTACGTTAAAAAAAAATTAAATTATTTTTAAAATAATATCTTATAATTTTTCTATGAATTTGTGATGCGATTTGTTTAGTTGATTTTCAAATATAGTTACATAGTATTATGCTAACAAGTATGCAAGATCTCAAATTGTTTAACAAAATTCACATTTAAGTTGAACGTTTTTATTTTTTTTGTAATTCGATTTTTAATGAAATTTATTACAATTATAAAATAACAGTATCTGTTCTGCAATACCTATTGAAGTAAATACAAATATTTGTGTTATCTTTACGAGCGCTTCAAAACCAGAATGATAAAAACTGTAGAGTTCGAACACTCGGAAGCTCGGGAAAATCCGGACAGGACAGGGACGAGCGGATCGGTAAAACCAACGGTTTCGCCCGGTTCCGGCGTTTACGAACGCGTCTGTAGACTCCTCTGCGACGGTCCGGATTCGCGCACGGGCATTCCCGCGCTCGGGCGTGACATTACCGCGCCGACGACAGACCAATCTCGTACTAATGTTGTGCATAATCGCGTGCACGGTTATCGGGTAAAAAAAAAAAAAAAAAAAAA